TAACAATTAATAACTTGTGAAAATTTACATTTAATTATTCTAAAAATAATAATTAATTAATTAATTAACTTATCTAGAGTTTATCTGAAATACATATTAGTGTAAAAGTTAGTTTTAAATTAATTCAATTTAATCACAAACAAAGATATTATTAAGAATAATAATTTTATGGATATTCAATAATTGTTGTTTATAAATTATTTTAATAAGAATTCAATATGATAATTATTCTTACCAAATATCTTAGTTAAAAATCTTAGTATATCAATTTTAAAAAACCAACACAAATACACAAATATACAAAAAAAAAAAAAAAAAAAAACTTTGGCAGATTTTTTTGGTGGCAACATTGCCACTTGTTTGCTTGCATGCAATATAGGAGATGAGACCCAATTATGTGCCTTGGACTTGCAAAATTTGATTAGATTCCACAGAATGACTAGGAGAGAGAGAGAGAGAAATGCATTGTGTGTGTATATATATATATATATATGCATGCTTGCATTCAGTGAGGAAATAAGGAAAAAAAAAATTCTGTGAGCAACAAAGCAGTAGGAGAAGAAGAAGAGTGGGAGATTAAAGAAGCTAAAATTTTCTACCATTTCATCATCCTATTATTAAGAAAGAAAATCCTCTCATTTTTTTTAAATGTTGAAATTTTCAGATTATATTTATATATAAAATGACTAAATTTGTAAAAAGAATTTTATTTATAGTTGTATGTAAATTTATGATTTGTATATCAAATCTTTGAAGATATTGGTAGTCTTAAAATCATGATAATATTGTGAAATTTGGACTTGCATGTGTAGTTTATGCCATTAAAAAGATTATTGAATATTTTATTTGGCCCTTAAATCTACCAGAAAATTTGTACAAATTTTTAGACAATTTTATCTCAAAATTTGAAGATGATTTCTTCTATAAAGTTGTTGGGAATGATGTCTAGTTCATCGAGGAATTTTTGAAACAATTATTGAGTTTTGTACGAATTTATACAAAATTTTAATTAAATCTGAAACTATAAGATAGATTTTACTATATGTTTGAAAATTTATTAAAATTCTATATTAAGCCAAATCTGGTAATTTGTAACTAAAAGATGAAATTTGAGAAGTCTAGTTTCATATAAATTTTTAGATTATGGATTTGATCTATGAATTTAAGTATGAAATTAATTTAAGAAAATGTGATAAATCTGTGTCATAAAATTTATAGGAATTTTACAGAATTATTTATAACTTATTTTTGGAAAATTCTTTCTGAAAAATGACCTAAACATGTTTAAAGATGAAATTTGAGAAGTCTAGTTTCATATAAATTTTTAGATTATGGATTTGATCTATGAATTTAAGTATGAAATTAATTTAAGAAAATGTGATAAATCTGTGTCATAAAATTTCTAGGAATTTTACAGAATTATTTATAACTTATTTTTGGAAAATTCTTTATGAAAAATGACCTAAACATGTTTATTGAATATTCTGTATATTTTCACGAATTCCAGAATTGTATAAATAATTTATTTATAATTTTTATTACCTAAGGTACATCCTGAAAATTTCTAGGCAGGTTTAAGATTATTACTTCAATTAATTATTTGGATAAAAAAAAATTTAATTATTGTGTTGGTCTAATTCATTAAACATCGTAAATTAGTAATCCATGTATGGGTGTTTGTGGTTTATTTAATATTGTGGTAGTCTAATCTTGTAAATTAAAAATCCATGTATGTGTGCGATTATGGTTTATTTTCTTTGTATCTAAATTATTATTTCATACCATGGTTTAAATAAATTATTTATTTAAATTTTGTACAATTATTTATTATTGTGTGACATCTGTAATTATGTTGGGAATTTTAATGAGTTGGTATAACATTATTTATTGACATGGATAGGCCCACAAGGCACACGGCCCACGGTAAACCACCCCGAACCCAGTGCTTGGGGCCAATGGCACAACCCGGTTGCATTTATAATTAAAAATTGGATTTATTTGTGATTAATATTAAAACTAACTAAAATATTTAATGGCATGTACAAAGTTAACAATTGACGGTTAATACCAATTGTTCAGGGTGAGTCTTGGTTTTAAAGAGTGTACGAAATTAAGGGTTGACGGTTAATATCGGTTGTTTAGGGTAAGCCCTGGTTTTGAGAATTCTCACGTAAATTGTGTCGCGAAACTCTAAGATGACACGAGACTTATTTAAACCCTTTTTTGGTATTCGGTTTTGGAATAAGGGTGGATGTGCAGGTGGCACACAGGGAGGTAACGTATCCTTGGCAGACCGTTTCCTTAGGGCAGACCATGGATGCCACTACTTGGGTATATAACTCCGGACGTGGGCATCCCTGGTAGTTACAGTTGGTAACACTTGAATATTTGACCAATGGGGGTTTCAAATTAACCGTTGCCATGTTTAGTGGTTGGTAAGTTAAATCTCTTTGTGAGATTTCGAGTGTCACCTAGTTTATTAGAATAATTGAAATTATTTTAATAGTTGTAATTTATATTTACAATTATATTGTTATCTCATATTTATAATCTCATTATTTTTTTCTTAAAAAGAATGGTAGGTTGGTTATGTTTTCTTATTGTGTTGCAAAACTTATGGCATATATTTTTGTTGCCCTGGCGTTTTATGCCAGGTTTTGACAAAGAAATAATTGAGACTGAAATGGAGTTGACGCTAATGTAGAACCTTGGCTAACTTGAAACCCTGATTAGAGCTGAATAAATTTTATTATTTTATATAACAGTCATTAAGAGCTTTATAATTTTATTTGATGTTGTATTTGGATAGTTTTAAGTTTTTATTTATTGTTGATTGAACCTTTAGTTATGTACGAGAGTTGAAATGTTCAATTACGATGTCAACTTTTTGATTTATTAAGTTATTTTGTCTGTTTAATTTCCTTTGATGTTCTAAAAATTTGGAGCATCACATAAATAACTTTTACGGATTAATAATAAAATTTCAATAAGAAAAATGTTAAGAATTATTTTAGTGAGAAAATAATGACATTGTATTATTTATTATGAAAAATTGTGATTATATTATTTGCATTGTAATAAAATATATAAGATGCACCCTTTTGAAGGTACAGGTGGTATTAGCAACTTTATGTGGAAGGCAACAATTGCATATAAAGTGAATTCTTAAACCTTAGGATGACCAATTACCCATGCTTTCCTCCTTTGCTTTTTGTAATTTGATGGGGGACTATTTCCTGATTCTTTATCGATAAATATTATGTCATTAAATTTTTTTTTATCACGGCTTAATATCACTATTTTTTATCATTAGATATTTATAATTTGTATAATAAGTGAGATTAATAATAATGACATAACACTAGCTGATACATTAATGTGTATACTAATAAGTGCATGTAGCACCATCGGATTAGAATAATACTATATGTACTAATTAATGTATTAACTAATATTCTAACAGATGATGTGACATAATTTTAGAGGTTTTGAATATCGGTGGTATTACATGCATAAATTAATATACACACTAGTATACCAACTAGTTTTATGTCATTATTACTTACTCCACCAATTATACAAATTATAAATACCCAAAAATTTTAAAATTATGTCACATCATCTGTTAGTATACTAGTTAGTATATTAATTGGTACATATAACATTATTATTTGGATATTTGTAATTTGTATAATAGGTGGGGTCAGTAATAATAATATAATACTAGTTGGTGCATTAGTGTGTACGTTAATTAGTGCATGCAGCACCATTAAATTAGAATAATGTTATATGTACCAATTAATATACTAACAGATAATGTGACATAATTTTAGAGGTTTTGGATATTTGTAATTTGTATAATATGTGAAGTCAATAATAATGACATAACACTAATTAGTATATTAGTGTGTACATTAATTGGTGTATGTAACACAACTGTTATGATTAATTTTTTTATTTGAAGTTAATTAATAAGCCATTAATGAATATATAATGGTAAAAAAAATAAATAACACATAACAATTCTCTACTTAATCGCCAACTAATGTTAGCTCAAACAACAAAAGGAGTTGTCAACATACTGGGTCATGTGGAATTTTGTTCAAATGCATTAAAGGAACTTTGGCATCCAAAGGTAGGCAAAGCAAAAAATCATGACCTTGCATTGATAAGAATATTGGTACCCACGCATTACCGATGTTAACTTGTCTTTTTTTAGGTACGTATATAAAAATTAAAACTTTTGTTAACATATGTTCTAAAAACAGATATTAAGGAATGTATTAGATGAATATAATTATTTCAATTTATATAGGAAGTTGGAAAAAACTTTTAAAGTTGTTAGAATTAATAAAAAAAAATTAGATAAAGACCAAAATACTCTCCTTATATTTCCCTCAGTTTCATTCATTAATTTGACTTTTATTATTTTATTTTACTATTATAATTATATATATAGATATATATATTTTAATTTGCAACACATACAGTGATTATATAATTTTAATTATTAAAGTATTTTTATTTATTTGGTTTTTTATTTTTTGGAAAAAATTTAAGTGCATTTTTATTTTTTGCTGTAATATTATAGCATCAATGGATTTTTTATTTTCTCTAAATTTTTTAAATTTAGACTACACTTAAAAATTTGGTCGCTAAATAGGCGATTAAAAAATTTTTAGTCAGCGTTAGTCTACATTTTGGCCACTAATTCTTGTTTTAGTTGTTGTATACAACCATTTGCCGACCAAAAAAAGTTTAGTCGCCAAATAACAAGCTTATTTTTTGGATTACTCTTTGGTGACCAAATATTTTTGCCAGCAAATATAAAATTTTGGTAACAAAAAAATTTTTAATCATTGTATAATCAATTTTTGCCGACGAAAAAAAAAAAAAAATAGTAGCCAAATTACGCTTTTGGCTACAAAAATTGAAGTCACTATTGATTATAATTTGGTGACAAATATAAGTTTAGCCGCTAAAGGTAGAAACAAAAAAAAAAATTTAAGGGAAGCGAATATTGGCCCTCTCGCCCCTCTTTCAAACAAACACAAGATCTATGTTCTCTCTCACATACATAGAGCTCTCTCACACACATAACAGTCACCAGCAAACCTCACCCCCGCTCACCACTGGCGCTCACCACTGCTATTGCCGCAAATCACAGGTTTTTCTCTCTTTTTGTCGCTCTCAGTCTCTCTCCCTCTCTGTCAAGCTCAATCTCTCTCTGTCTGTCTGTCTCTTTCTCTATGTCTCTTTCTTTATGTCTCTCTCTGCCTTGCTCTATTTCCTCATTTCTCATGCTTGCTAGGGTTTTATATGATTTTTTTAGTTTAATTTTGTGTTGATTTCTTAAATGGGTTTGGTTAAAGTGGTTTGATTTCTATAAAATTATGGGTTTGATGTCCAAAATGGGTTTGATTTAGGGTTTATGGGTTTGACAGAGAAAAGATTTTGATGTCAAAAATCAAAATCCATGAACAAGCTGATTTTTTCAATTTAGCGAACAAGAATCATTCAGAAGCACTGATTCATAAGTGCATTCATAAATTTATTTTTTAAGAAATATTTGTGGTAAAAAAGATTGGAATTTGGGCTTTATTTGTTTGTTTTTTTTTTTTGCTTTTCTTGCTTGAGCAAAACCATCAAGCTCTGTCGAATGGTTGGGGTTCCATTTTTTGTGTGTTGAAACTGATCTACTATGCAACTTCTAGGTTGTAATTGCTTACATAATTATCTATCAAATTGCATCCATCCTAACATACGATTGTTGTGGCCTCTAACTTGAAAATTAGCAGCAAAAATTGTCAAGCTTTAATGTGGAATGGGAAAATGATTCACGTTTATTGTAGTGGGAGATGGTAAACAATTGCATTCTTTGTTTCTTGTGCTTGATTTATCCCTCCCTTCTTTGGTTACCGTTGGTGACTATGAATACAGGGTTGGTATCACTTTAAATTTCAACTTGCTGATGTTATTAATATCACTTTGTTTTTGTTTTTTTGATGAGCCCTATGGAAGTGTTGTGGAGATGCCACTAGGCCACATGCATTATCAGTGTATCTTCCCAAACACAATTTAACCCCGAATCTTCTAAATTATAATAACTAAAACATTATTGGATACCTTCCAGTGTAACTCTCAATCACCCTTGGAAGCCTAATTATAAAATCTTAGAAAGTATATATGGGATCTTTATATCTATTTTTATGGCTGCACATGTTGTCATTTGTATCCACACAAGTACTTGTAGAAGTATGTGGTTTCCATGAGTTTGTATGTATTTGGACGTTACTTTTCAATTGGTTGCACTTTAAATACTTACCTTTTAATTTTGTTTACAGCCACAAATTACCCGCACATGTTGTCATTTTGTTTTCTTTCTTTTCTTTACTCTTCTTTTCTTTTCTTTTTTTTTGTAACTGAATGAATTGTTCGTCTCACATTGACTAGTAGCATTAGATTAGTATTGAGTAATGTCAAAACATGCCATTGCTATGCTAGTATAGTAGAGTAGCAATTTATGTGGAAACTTCTAATTGCTTTTGCCTAAGCAGGCTGTGGAATGAATCTAAGAGGTGATGACCCTGCTACGATGAAATATTTTGATCTGAGTGTGCAGAATAGGGCAAATGAGTTAAAGGCCTCTTCTACAAATGGCCAAGCAAATACAAGTAGCAAAAAGGTATGCGTGCATGAATATATGAGATATTTTTTCTATTGTTCACTTGTTTGTTCTTCCTGTCTGCAACTTTACTCCATAATCCTTGTGTATTACTAATTATTTAATAATTAATACAAGAAAGAGGGTGTTTGTGTGTATTCATGTGCACATGAGCACATTCACATATCTTCACTCTCATGGATGGTCATGCATATAGCAGGGGGGATACCTTAGCACATCTTATCGTTTAACAAGGTATGAAGATACACTCCTACCTTATGAAGATACACTCCTACCTTATCAAATTGGGTTTTGATTTAGGTATAGCAATGTGTAACACTTTACTTTCAATGTATGCAAAGTGTTCAAACCTTTATGATACATTTAAAATGTTCAACGAGATGAGTTTAATCTTTTTTGAAAATTTAATTTTTTACTATGCAGTCTAGAGTGGAAAAGCTTAGACCTGACATATTTTTTGGGTCAGGCCTATAGCTAATAATTTAGGACTGATGTTGGGCTGGGCTGGGCTGGCCTTGGGCTACTATAAATTTCATTATTATCTAGAATAGACTCTACCCGAAATTGGCCTGATCGAGCCCACGGTCACCCCTATCAGCAACAAGATAAGAGGCATATATGGAGTTATCAGTTAAGGTATTACTCTCCGCTACTTGTGCAATATAGATTATAGATATTTTTTAAAGAATAAAGAGTAAAGACAAACTTGTGCATCTGACATATTGTGTCAATTTGTTACACTAGCAAGTTGACAACCATGACTAGAAAGTAAATGTGATATTGATGCCAGAGTATAGTGCTTAGTAAAGAATATGATCTTGAGGGCCATGTATCACCAACCAAATTCAAACATCCACAAAGTCTTGTATATCACGTTATTTTTTGGTTAAATGCTTCTTGACTTCAGTGGCTTCTATTAAAAATACACATCGATAGGAATATACTTTTATTATAGTTCAATGTCTAATTTGTTGTGTATGAATTAAAGGCTAAAATTTTTCATTTTTCTCCCTCATAGAAATGTTATTACCTGCAAACTAATTATTTTATATTTTCTAGTATTTATTGGAATTTTTCTTCTGAAAGATTTGGATTTACATGCTGTTGCAGTATTGCCTATGGCACACTCGACTTTTCCTTGAAGCATTTTCCTTTCATTATCTTGCTCATCTTATTTTTTCTATTTTTTTTTTTTAATTTTTGCTGTTGATATTACTTCACAGTATTGCCTATAGTACCACTTCAAGAAGATGATGAAACAAGTAGAAGATGGAAAAAAAAACAAGGAAGGCAAAACAAGTACAACTCAGTCATCTGAATGACATGGTTTTATGGCTCACAACCCTCTTGTAGGGTTCAGATGGTCATCCTACTATTTGGTAAGAAGAATTTCCCCATAAATTATTAAAAATTGATTTCCAAAGTGCTCATCTTTGGCTCATCTGATGCATCAAAATAACATCTAAGCTAATATCTTTACTACCCACAGGCATATAGATAATTGTTACATAACAACCAAGACCCATTGGGTCATATTTTCAGTGTATATATGAATTGATCCATACATAGATACTATATCTAGACTTGTTTGAACTAGTTACTATATGAATTGATCCATACATAGACATATTTCACTATATCACAATATAAACTAGTTACCTGTGGGGACAGATGAGATTAAATTAGCACACATAGGTTGGGAGTTAGAGTCGAAAATGCCTTAAACTTAGTCGAAAAAGGGCATTCGGGGGACAAAATACAAAACAGTCGCTGAACCACTCAATGGATATCACGGCCAGCTTCCTCGTGACAAATAGAACCTGTGGGGATAGATAGATATAATTAAAACACGTAGGTTGGGAGTTAGAGTCGAAACGCTTTAAACTTAGTCGAAAAACGGTGTTCAAGGGGTGATAATGCAAAACAACTCCTGAACCACTCTATGGATGTCACAACTAGCTTTCTTGTGACAAATACAACCTGTGGGGATAGATGGGATGTAATTAGCACATGTACATTGGGAGTTAGAGCTGAAAGCGTCTTAAACTTTAGTTGAAAAAGGGCGTTTGGGGAGCGAAAATGCAAAATAGCCTCGACCACTTAATGGATGCCACGGGAACCTTCTCCATGGCAACTACAACCTGTGGGGACAGACGGGATATAATTAGCACATGTATGTTGAGAGTTAGAGCCGAAAATGCCTTAAACTCAGTTGAAAAAGGATGTTCGAGGGGGCGAAAATGCAAAATAGCCCCCGAACCACTCTATGGATGTGTTCGGTAGCTTCCTCGTGGAAAATAGGATCTTTGGGGACAGATGGGATGTAACTAGCACACATAAGTTAGGAGTTGGAGTCAAAAACGCTTTAAACTTAGTCGAAAAAAGACGTTCAGGGGGTGACAATGCAAAACAACCTCTGAACCACTCCATGGATGTCACAACCAGCTTTCTTGTGACAAATACGACCTATGGGCATAGATGAGATGTAATTAGCACATGTACGTTGGGAGTTAAAGCCGAAAACGTCTTAAACTTAGTTGAAAAAGTGCGTTCAGAGGGCAAAAATGCAAAATAGCCCTTGACCACTCAATGGATACCATAGGAACCTTCCTCATGACAAATAGGACTTGTGGGGACAGACAAGATGTAATTAACACACATATGTTGGAAGTTAGAGCTGAAAACGCCTTAAACTTAGTCGAAAAATGGCGTTCGGGGGGCGAAAATACAAAACAGCTCCTGAACCACTCTATGAATGTCACGGGTAGCTTTCTCATGACAAATAGGACTTGTGGGGACAGACATGATGTAATTAGCACACGTAGGTTGGGAGTTGGAGTAAAAAACGCCTTAAATTTAGTCGAAAAACGTTGTTTGGGAGGCGAAAATGCAAAATAGCCTTTGAACCACACTATGGATGACACGGGTGCTTTTTAGTTTATTTGTTAAGTGAGGCACACCCATACACACAATGAACTACAACAATTTTCAAACTTCCTCTCAAATAAAAGTGACAATGCCATGCATGTCCGTATTTGAACATAAGGCAACAACCTTTGCCAAACATATTCTATTTGTCTCTTCTTTTTTTTTTTTTTCACTTATTTTATCAGCAACTCTAAATAAGCACCTTCAAATAATGGCAACAACCCCATTCTTTGAATAAGAGCATATTTGGATGTCCTATGAACAAGTATTTGCCTTACCAGTTATGGATTTGTGTCGTAGAGCAAAATAGTTCACCGCTGCAACTGACAAGTATAGATATTTGACATGCTTTTGACAGGAATATTATAGTGTTAGTCCAACCACAGGAAAGTTATGGAGTGCTTATTAAAATGCTATTATTTATTTTTATTTTTTGAGACATTAAAAGTCTATTATGTGCAGGATTATTTAGTAGGAAATGTTTCTTTTATGCTAAAGCTTCTAAAATTCTGCAAAAATCTGTTATTTAAATAACCATAAGTGAAAGATGATGTCATGAGCCAGACAATTCATTCACCATTCAACTTGTGGGTTTTGAAAAACGATGAGCCATAATAAAGTAAAATACAAATTAACTGCCAGTTCATAACACACGGGTGTGTTCAAAAATATTATACTGATATTTACATGATCTTTTTATGTACGTTTGTTAGGAAAAATGCCTATTAGTGTTGAAGTTTTCTCTAATACATGGATTGGGTGTCTTCAAAAATAAAAATACTGATAATTACATGATTATATATATATATATATATATATTCACGTACAATGAAATTGGAGAGAGAAAAAAAAATCAGATAGAGAAAGAAGCAGAGAGATAATTGTAAACTTTTATTGAATTCACTAGGTTAAACAAAGGAGAATTGCCCAACAACTCTCTCCCTAGCAACAAAAATCCATTAAGTAACAAGTAGATAAACCTGTCTCCCTAAAAAAGTAATAACAATGGAGTCGAATCAATGGGGAAAATTGCATGTTATGAAACAGTTAAAGAAAAGACAAATACACCAAAACTGTTAAATTATCTTCAAATGCTATATGAAACTAATGAGTGTAATATTTTATTTTATTTATTTATTTATTTATTTTTGTAGATGACTTTTGACATGGACATGTAGATCTTCCATTTTTGTGTACGGAAGATTATTTACACTTTTTCATAATCTCGCTTTTTAGTCGTCCTCTATTTTTTTGTGTGAATTTGTATTAATCGTACATATAACTTTTGGCGGGGTACAGAATACTTTTGACATCGAACAAATATTTATTGCCGTGGTATATAGATTACCTAATGGTAATTTGTACCATGCCAAATGGCCATTTTGCATAGTTGTAAATAAATTTGTGTACGGAGAACATGGTTTTTGTATGATTATTTGTTCTGTATGAAATTATTATTTTCAGTTGGAATATACTTGGTTTGTATAGAATTTGACATTAAAAGCTTTTTTTTTTTTTTTTGGGGGCTCAAAAGACCCCATCATATTAGGGCAGAATAAATTAGGTTGGTGACACATACAAATTGTGAACAAATAAATTAAGATAAAAAAAAAAAAAACATAAAATGATGTTTTTGGTGACTAAACAATTGGTAGCTAAAAATGGAGTTAAATATTTTTAGCAACTAAATAGTTAGTAGTTAAAAAAAGAATTAAATGGAAACAAATCTTTTGGTGACTAAATATGTCACGCCTCACCTTTTATTACTCGAAGTCATTACCAAATTCATTAACTTAATTCAATTTCAAGGATAACATGCGGAAATAAACTCATACATTCAATCCGTAGAAGTGATTAACAATACTCTCATTCGTATGCAAAGTAAATATTACATGAACATACTTAATAAATTGCCCTTGGGCTTACATCACTTAAGGTACAAGAAGAAGGGTGTAACCCCTTTACAACAATGGCATTCGCCCACATAAGAGAGGCCCTGTGGCTCAGAAGACCCAATTCTTGCAGCACATTCTGCTCAACACCTGAAAAAGATTCAACAACGTGGGATGAATATATAGTCCAGTAGGGATCTCAACCTGGTCCTCAACAATAACAACATACAGATAGCTATGATCATGAGCACTCATTCTCATACTAGAATAGTAATGTGACAATTTATACAAAATATCATAAGTATGAACTTTTCTTGAAAATAACCATTTCAATCAACGCCATAGGCGATTCATCTTTCCTTTTCTTTTCATTAATTCCCGTTCCCAATCTTTCATAACATTAATAATACCTTAGGAAATAATTTCACTAAGCCCACTACATTCTTCCAATTTCAAAACATACAAAGATGTACCCTTTTCAAACATGTTTATCTTTAAAACATTCGTCCTCCTCCACACTTTCCAAAAAATAAAAATGACATTTTGGCTCGTTTCTATTACTATTATAACTATACATGCATATCTTTGTAAAAATATAAATTTACAACCCACCAACATGTATACAACCAACCAATGGAGTAACTCGGTCCTCCGAACTGTAACCAATCAAATCCATGATATTTTCAGTTACAACGAAACAACAATAATCCCACTTTGCTCTACTAGCTATGTGTTTAGTAAGCCAAAGATATACTGAAATAACTATAACCAACTTCGCTCTACTAGCTATGTGCGTAGTAAGCCAATCAATACACCCCACTCAACAACATTAACAACAAGCCAGTTTACCAGGCGCTAACTGGAAGGGTATGGTGCCTCCGATTATTAGCGCGGTCAGTTCTCTAGGCGCTAGTTGGAAGGTAACGGTACCTTTGATTCTAAGCGCGGGGTATAACACCAACAATCACAGCACATCAAGGCATAACCAACATGTATAATGCATATACATAAACTATCAAGACACCAGCAATGTGTTAAAGTATATGAACACATGACTATCTCCTTCCGAGCAAATATATATATATATATATATATATAATGTATCTAGCACTTCATCACATACGATGTTCAATTAATCAATGGTAAAATGCATACCCGACAATTCTATACAACCGTGTCATCCTCCACCGATGACCAAGGACAAGACCTCTAGATGCATATAGTTAGTACATCTATTAAAAGACTCAAATATCATGAATCACAAACCCAACTACAATATTAACATGGTAGTTAAAGATACAATTTCTACATGTGTGTTCAACACTCAAGATATAACAATCCAATTCTCAAACTTATTTCGAAAACACTTCCTTCATTCTCACAAAAACGATTTCATTTCCTTTTTGTTATCACAAAGCCAACTCCACTAATCTTGTTTCCATAAAATCAACTACAAAGCCATGGTTAATCCCTTAGGCATTAACACCCTTACCACACTCATTTTGACAAAAGAGATTTACACACAATGGTCAACAAACCCCAATTTTAATTTACCCAACCAAAATATAATTTAGGGCTTTTCTTCATTTAACTACAACATGCTAATTTGTATTTTTAACTAGCCAAGACAACAATCAATGAAGCCAAAACCATTCTCCGCACCACCAACCCTAGGTTTATTTCATGATTTCAAACAAATCCAACATGGATATGATTTTTATGCAATACAAAATTACCACTTGTCTATCTATAGACGAAGTATTGAAAAAGAACAAGGAAAATCCATACCTCAAAAGGAGAACTCAAATAGAGAAGATGGCCCGAGATCAAAGTGCTCTAAATCTCAAATTTCTTAGATCACAACGAAGCCCTCGACGATCAACACACTTCTTACAAAGGCCCAAGGTGAGGAAAACACTCTAGCTAGATCAATCCTAAGAGAGAAGTTCGGTTTTAGAGTGAGGTGCTCTCCAATGGAGGTTTTGAAAAAGTAAGAGAGAGAAAGGAAATCAAAAAGTGATCAAAAAGGTGATTTCACGGACTGATATAAAAACAGGTCCGCTCGAGCGTACAACACCTTGCTCGAGCGTCAGACACAGGTTCACGCTCGAGCGTCCAAAGATCCGCTCGAGCGCCGGATGCACTCTTCCAAAATTTTCTGCAGACGTCCAAAATGCTGAGAGAAGGAAATTCACGCTCGAGCGTTCCAACTGTCGCTCGAGCGGAAAGGCAACAACAAAAAGCCGCTCGAGCGTAGAGACCAAAACCTGGGCAAAAATTTTAAGTTTTAAAACACAGTCAACTTATTCCCAACTTGCCCAACACAACCCAAAACTCTAACACAAAGAGTAAGGGATAGAAATGAGGATAAGACAACAACGAATCTACGGAACCGAGTCCGGATTACAGTTAAACAATAACAGGGAATACCGGGATCGCTATAACCTCCCTCCCTTAAAGAATTTCGTCCCCGAAATTTAGAACATGCCAAAAGCACAAGGCCAACTGATAGCACAACACCAACATCTGAGTACTAGGAAAGAAACTATTCTCCCTACAAACCTTCGATCCACTCTTACCAAGGAAGAGACTAACCAAGGGGACACGTTCCAAACGACAACACTGTAGGCACAAAAGCTACAACAAGACCAACCCTTCCGAAACAGTTTACCATCATCTGACCAGCGCTTCAAGCTAAGTCACTACTCAACAACTATTACTTCCAATAAAAGGATACTCAAGGCAAATCTTTCACATTAATATAAGGAAAACATTTTCTTGCTCATGAGACATTTCAAAATAAACCTTGCATTTTCAACGCAAAACTCAAAAACTTTGTATACATTTTTCACCAACACGATGTTGTCCAAAACACATAACCATCCACAATTTTTTGCCAAAAACAGATTCATTTGGAATTCCTCTAAACCCTTGAATTAAATCAATTTTTCAACAACATCTTTAGGTGGCCCAACCACCAGAAAAATTTTATTTTCCATTTCTTTCCAAAATAATACCATCAACAACCATCACTCACACAGTGATGCCACAACCAACACAGAACATAACATTTCTATAATGATAGTTAATAGAAATAACAATTGTGCTATCAACACACAAGGCATATGAAATTTATGATTTTGTAATTTTGTTTCACCTTCCTTCCCTTAATCAATTGAAAATCATAAACATGGCTCAGAACCTAGCCAACAATTTAAAAGAGATCACATCTCACATCAACAATACCTCCTTAATACACAAATGATACACATTTTGGTGCTGTATCAACATAACATAGAAACACTTCTATACTTCACAATTGATAACCAATCTTAACACGAACACTACCCCTATACAACCGATCGGGTCACCATGGACTCGCTAACTAGTAAAGCCCAAAACACAAATCAACATATAGGTACCAAGGAAGCAACAACATTAGGATCATTGACCCCATTAACAACTTCTCAATATAAAAGAGAGCTTAAAACCCATACATACTCCCCAATACCTGAGGATTAAACAAACAACACTATGCGTACATAAGCAATACATAAACATGGTGCCTCAGCATTCAACCGTACACCGGTCAACAACAAAATCATCCATATGATACATTATCGGTCAACAACACAAAAGTCCCCCTCCAGGGTAATACTATCGGGCTACTTAATAAGTCGCCCCTCGCGAGGCTTCCGAAGCCTGGCCTTCCCGCTTCTGGTACCGATAACGCCCTCGACTGGACGGGTACGACTGAGTCTGACTAGGTTTTGAAACACTTGCAGAATTCACATGCAAAGGGCAAAAAGGTCTACCATGGCCCTGCTGGCCACAAACGAAACAACCACCAGACCCTTTACTCTGAGACTGGTCTGAAACCTGCACCTCCCCGGACCTTCCAACCGAAGTGTCCGAAACCCCTGACGAAGAAAAGGAACCAGCCCCCGACTGAGCATGTTTCCGCCTCCACCCCTTACTGAGCCTAGAGTATTTAGGAACCGAAGGACTTACCGCAATGGTCTCCTCCTTAACCCCATCATCACTCGCAACCATGGCCTACACATGGGCCGCTGCCTCAACTAAATAATAATAATCCTTCCAAAAGGATCCAGCTACCTTCTCCCGAATATTGAAACACAACCGCCTTTCAAACTCGGAACAACGGCGCTCCTCTGTTGTCACCAACTCCGGAGCAAACCTCGACAAGCTAGCAAACCGCATCTCAAACTGTGCCACAGGAGTATCATCCTGACGCAACTCCAAAAACTGATTCCTCAACCTTTCCCGAGCAGAAGGAGGGAAATACTTGGCCCAAAAGGTCTCGGTAAAAGCAACCCACGTGCTACCCACATTATTCTTAGCATACTTCCACCAATAACTCGCATCACTCTTCAACTGAAAAGTCGCCAAAGAAACCCTCAACTCCTCATCTTCGACTCTGAGCATATCAAGAGTCTTAGTAATCTGCTCTAGCCAACTCTCTGGCTCCAACGATTTAGCCTCCCCCACAAGCTCTGGTGGGCTGGAGCGAAAGAACTCCTTTGTAAGCTTGAGAGCATGCCCGCTGCCGCCCTCAGTGC